ATAATTGTTTATATGCAATTTGTAGATGACAGCACCATGGCAAAGATACCAGGAGGGAAGTTTAAAATGGGCACGAACGCTGCAGATGGCAGAGATGAGGAATCGCCAGTAAGGGACGTCGCTGTGGGGGCGTTTAAAATCGACAGGTACCCCGTTACCAACGCAGATTTCAGGTGAGCACAACTAATCCTGACCGCACTCAGATCCGAAATAGAATCGGAACAGTGTTTTTTTTTCCTCTTTGTCAAGTTGTATTCCTTGTGTAACTTATCTTAAGGGAAAATGAACTATACGCATCGGTTACATCAAACACCTTTATGCGTTATTTGACAGTGTGAAGCAAATGAAGACTGCAACTTCTTCAGTGTTCGCAGTGAAAGGTGTGCAGTGAAAATGTTACAGATTGTTGCACGCTAGGTATCTCCTCCAGATACATTTGGCTTTCAAAATCGTATACCTAATTGCTATTGAACTCACAACGCTTGTATGTCTTTATAGAATTGCAAACTGAAATACTCTTATCTGTTTTAATCTTGAGGACTGGAGTTACACATCTCTGTCGTAGGTTTATGTGTAAATGTACCTTCCTACCATTTCCAGAGAGTTTGTGAGAGCAAAGAAATACAAAACTGAGGCCGAGACATTCGGTTGGAGTTTTGTATTCCAGGATTTTGTTTCCGAAGAGCTCAAGAGCAAAGTAACTCAAAAAATTGAAGTAAGTGCCTCTTTACTGTTATCACTACTTATATAGCCATCAGATCTGACACTAGAACATAAATCAGGAAGTATTGTTGCTGGAGCAAAGTGCTTTTTATCCCCGAGAAGGCATTTCTGTTTTCTTTTTGTGGAAAGTACAGGTATATGGAATATAAATAAAGGTCATATGTTTATTGGATGCAATTTAAAAAAGGAGGTGACTATATTTGTTTTGTACTGTCTAAAGCCTCATGTGTTCATGTTTAACTCCAATTGTAACCCTGCCCTGTAAAGTGACGCTCTGTGATTTCCGCAGTCTGCCCCCTGGTGGATACCCACTGAAAAGGTGTTTTGGAGACAGGTAGAGTCTTCTTGTCTTCTCAATTAATTGCTACTCCTGTATAAGCAAGCTCATTTGTGCATTTGGTGTAATTTGTGCTGAGATAATTCTTTAGCTGATTTTTGACTTGGAGTTCTTGAACATAAAACACTTGTGTTGATGCCATGTTGATATACCTTCAAAAGGAACCAAGGTAAAAAAGTACTAAGACATTTCTGGTGCATCTACACCTTGCAAGTACAGTGCAATTTCTCTGCAGATCGAAACTTTTAAACTTGATTTGTTTTTTGACATAACATTCCGAGTACATCCTACTCACTTACCCAGCCTGCAGGTCCTGGTTCCGGTATAAAGGACAGATTGGATCAGCCAGTTGTGCAGGTGAGCTGGAACGATGCCCAGGCCTACTGTAAGTGGAGGGGGAAGAGGCTGCCTTCTGAAGAAGAGTGGGAGTTTGCAGCCAGAGGAGGGCTGGAAGGTGGGCCTCTTGAATAGGTGTGCGATTGCGGATGTCTAATCCAGTTCCCTGTGTCGAGCTCAGATATGTGCCATTGCACTTAAATAAGGTGAATTTCAGTCCTGTTAGAAGGCACCTGATATACACATGCCTCCAAGCGCCATAATGCAAATATACTGTATGTTTGAAAATCTTTTCAAAGGAATCCCCAATTGTTAATCATCATATTGTCTCTTTCTGTAAATCTCCCAGGCCGAACGTATCCATGGGGCAACAAGTTTCAAACGAACCGCTCCAACTTATGGCAGGTTAGTGTGATTTAAAACTTTACATTAAATTTTCCCTGAATAGTTTAACTGGTTTGTACATTATGCCTTGTAAAAAATTGATTGCTGATTTTTGTTTCAAGAACAACTATAAGTTGGGGGACTCTTCTGTCAGTGAGATGTTGAACAAAAAAATTAAATATAGTTTGACCTTAATACTTTAGTTTTTATAAAGTATAACTTAAGGTCATTTGTGAAAGTTTTTAATACTGTAGCATCTTTGCTTATTAAATATGAAAATAAAATCACAGAACTGTTCACCCACATGCTCATTTTTGACAGGGTAAATTTCCAGATAACGACTTAGCAGAAGATGAGTATCACGGGGTCTCTCCTGTGAAGGCATTCCCTCCTCAGAACAACTATGGTGAGCCTTTTCTCACTTACCGAACACTCTTCATTTACTTCTTTCCTTCATTTTATAATGGAGCATTATTATAGCATCTTCAAGAATTACAAGAACCCAAATGGCTTCTTAGAGCTTCTGTTGAATTGGGCTGCCAGTTGTGAGTTGCAGGGTGATGTGGCTGCTAGCACTTAAGTCTTGGTTGTCTGTGTGAGGTTGGTTAATCTGAAGCTTCTTATTCCTGATTCTCAATAAAAAGTCCTAAAATGCCTTTCATTACTGGATGATGTTTTTCCTCATGAAAGCCATTCTGAGTGGGCTGGAGAGGAGGAGATAGATTCTGTTCAAACTCAATCTGTCTAGAAGAGCTCCTTTGCATTTCCCGATGACAGAAGCATCGCTACCCCTGGCTCACAGAGTAGGCTGGCTAACGGTGGCTCTCTGTCCCCAGGTCTCTACGACATGCTGGGAAATGTGTGGGAGTGGACCGCCACACGCTTCACTGGCGCGCAACCCATGTACGTGCTGAGAGGGGCATCCTGGATCGACACTGCAGATGGTTCGGCCAATCACAAGGCACGAGTCACCACCAGGTATATCTTGCTGTAGAGCCCTGCTCAGTTTCTGGTTAAGAATCCATTTTATCCATGTTTCGCATTGTCGAGTCAGACTTTACAGCAAACAAGCCTAAAAAAATACAGCACTGTTAAGTGAGGTGCATGGTGAAATGTGTATCAAGACAAATGGAAAGAGAGTAATATTGGTGGTGAAAACTGGCTTGTTGCCGTGTAGAATTTTGTTTTTTAAAAGGACCTTCTGTCAAGGGAGGTACATGGAGTTGCAAATGTTTTTTTTTTAATATATTAATTCTTATTATAGAATGGGAAACACACCAGACTCGGCTTCTGACAACCTGGGCTTTCGGTGTGCAGCCAGCATTGATGCTACAGGGCAGGACACCAAGCTCAGGAAAGAGCTATAGGAAGGGGAAAGTGATGGATAAAAAGGGAAATGTCCCTTGGAAGAGTGGCAATCATTACATCTCTCCTGTGGAGACTGGAAACAGCGGCCGTTTTGTCTTCATTGTTTCGGTTTGCATTTTCAGGGGACTAATGTGAATTTGTAGCGGATTGTGCTTTGCAACGCTGCACAGTAAACCATGTTTTAATTTCTGTTAATGCAGTGATGCAGGAGTTGGCATACAAGAATTTCTCTTTTTGTCTGCTAAATACTTGTATATTGTTTCATTTTTGATTACAGTATATATGATGAACATTTGAGTTTGTATATTTCCCCCCATCCTTATTCGTCTGGTTTCCACCCACAGTGGAAACACATGCTGGTAGGTTAACTGGCCCTAATCTGAGTGTGGGTGTGCCCTGTGATGGACTGGCGTCCTGCCCAGGGTGTACCCTGCCCTAGCCCCCGCTGCTTGCTGGGATGGGCTCTGACTCTCCCATGATGCTATAATGGAGAAAGAGGTTGGAAAACGGATGGATGACACATCTGATGTACACTGAAGTATAAGGGGATGTTATGCAGAAAAAAAAAACTTCAAAACAAATTGAAATGACTTTATTTCTTGTTAACAAAAAGCAAAGCTTTTCATTTACAGTATGAAGACACAAGTGTTTTTACAATAAATACAATACAGTGACATTTATTACATCGGAGGTCATTATGCATTACAATGGTCAGGTCTGAATTACTTTTAGAAGATTATGTAAAGACTAAGCAGGGTAGTTTTTAATTAAATACTTTGTGTTAAGCTTTAACCAGAAGCAAGTTAAGGATTTTTGTAGTTTAATATCAGTTCTGTTTTTAGATGTCCATTTCTAAAGGTGTCAGGGTCAATTGTTCTATTAAATGGATAGACTTCAGATCTGATCTCAGAGTCAACTTAGACTTGGGTAGTATAAATCTCAATCTGTGAGAATTTGCTGGTTTCTTGCGAAACATTTCCCAAATTGTATAAAACTATCAACCTCAGGTAAATGTATAACTCTTTTTAGGAGCATACACAGAGACAATACATTGAACATGTATTTCAGGATTTAAATAAGTAAGACAGCTTTTACACGCATTGGAGATCTTTTATATCTAAAGGATTTTGTCATTGTCTGCTGTAATTAAGAAATTAAGAACTGGAATAAAATAGTTAAATAGAATAACTGACTGACCAGGACATCACATTCATTTGTCTGGATCATCTAAGACCCAAGGCCACCAGCTTGTGCAAAACATAAAATAAATATTCTCAGTGTTCATCTATAAAGACTATCCTTCACTATAGTATAGAGCAATCAGGGTTACAGACTTGTTAACCCATACCTTAACTGGGTACTTAAGTTTAAGAATTCAATAAGGATTATAGCAGATTAAATATATAGTAGAAACTATTTACAAAACATACTGTGAGGTGGGAAGTGTACCGCCATTACACTAATGCAAACTTCTACATGGTATACTGTAAATTAATATTTCTACAACTTAGTTGCAGAGGAAAAATATCAGGCATATTTTGATTACTAATTTACATTGCCCAATTATTCCCTGTCAGGAGTGCCATTCAGTTTCTGTATTGTAAACAAAATATATTTGCTGATGCTAATACCATGCATTTGATCCTTTTTGTCGTTTTCTTTCATGTATTTATAACATATATAAATATATGTTATATATAAACTATATAACATACAGGTACTATGAGTAAAATGATATACATTTTTGAACTTTCAAATTAACCTGAATCCCATCCACATTTTTTCCTGACATTGGCTTATGTGTCTATACATTTCTTGCCTAAACACAAGCCAATGTGCACAATTAACTGTACATTTTAGTACATGCTAATTCAAGTATGCAGGTCAATTGCACTTTTGTCAAGAAAGCCTGTGAGCAAGTCAAAACACATACCTGCAATTTCATCATGCGTTCATTCTACTCACAGACAAAGACGTATTTACAGAGATGCGCAGGCCTTTTGTAAACTACAAGCTTCAGGCCGCATTCATAAAAGATACAAAAATATATTTGTAATGGAAAAGAACTTTAAAATGTTAATTAGGATTTGCTTGCTTTCAATTGCTTTCCTTTAAAGAAGTGTGAAAGAAATCAGAGACACAGCAATCTTAGGGTAAAAATACTAAAATCTATACTTTATATTATTAGTAACTATTCTTAATATAGTTTCATTTACCACCTGCAGCATCTTATGCACTGAAAGGGATTTGCACCTCTGTTTTCAATTAAGACCCAAGAGGATGCACTGCCACAATACAAGTTGGCCAGTGGGCCTTCGATAACTAAAAAGCAAGTATTTCTTCTGCATCAGCTGCCAATGATAAAAGCACAGCCTTGGGAGTGTTTTCAAATAAGGCCGCTCTGTTCTGGGCCTGTCCTTTCTTCACCCAGTGTCCATAGATCTTGAAGGCACAGGCATCTATCAGCTTGCGAAATGGCTTTAGTGCATAGGGGTCTCTTATGACCACCTCCTTGGTCACGGGCTTCACACGTCGGTAGTGGTAGTAAATCCGAACAGATGCTAGTACCGTGGTACAGATGACCTGAAATAACACATGAAGAAAAAAAAAAAGAACTTGTGACTTTTTACAAATAGTGCATAACATTTCCACAAAATGAAAAGTAAGCAATTTCCCCTCCTGCAACAAACATACAAGCCCCACACAGAGACTTGAGTGTGCAAGAGAAACTTAAAAAGACATGTAAAGAAGCAATACTCATTTAGAAATGAACCCTATAGGATATGGGCACAGACTGTTTGGAAGTTTCGTATTTCTTTTATATTATTTAAAGAAGTGAAGAATCTGAGAATACATTCATGCAATCAAGAAAGACAACACCGTTTGTTATCATATAACCTCATGTATGCACACCACACCAGCGGTGACACAAAAGGAGCACAAGGAGTTAGAACTGCCTCCAATGAGAGGGCTTTGCTATCCTGAAATCCTGCCAAAGCTGATGCATGCCAACGACAGTCAGGAGCCGTGAAGGCTGCTAAACCCCATTGATATTGGCGTTACCTTGAACTTCCTGTAAGGACTGAAGTAGCGCACTTCCTGTACAATGTATTGCTGGAAGAAGGGGTGAGCCAGGGCTTCTGTAGCAGTGTACCTTTTGCCTGGATCAACTACCAGCAGCCGGGAGATCTGCACCAGAGAAGTAAAGTTCAGAGCTCTATTACACCAGCAAAAACTGGGCACTTCTTAGTTTAAGTGGATCCGAGGTGCTCTGTATTCAGATGGATCTCCTGAACACAGAACCAACAGGTTGCAGTGGTTGACTAGATGTTTTTGGTCTTTATACTTCCCCCATTAACCTTCACATTTTGACTAGGATGTAATTTAGAAGGATTTTGACTAAAGTAATTTAATAGATTAATCGTTTATGGATTGTTAACAGATGAATCTCAATGTAATTTCATTAAATTGCCTTTTCCCACTCCTGGATGTCCTACATTTCCTACTGCCTTTCCCTGTTTGCAGTTGACTTTAACTGACTGGGTTTTACGCAATGCAGTCTGGAATTGGACTCTCTGTGGACAGCCTGCAGCTGTGACGTGGCCTTGCTTACCAGATCTTTAACGGTGTCCGACCGGTCGTCCCATTCAGGGGATGTGAACTCATAGTTGCCACTCAGGATCATCCGCAGCATCAGCATCTGTTTCCTGTGCCAAAACGGAGGAGATCCTGCCAGCAGGGTGTACATGATCACCCCACAGCTCCAGCTGCAAGAAGGATCACAAAGAGACCTCTAAGGATCTGGGATCCAGTTTGAATAAACAGGGGTTACATTGTGCAGAATTGCAAACACTCTTATCACTGTTACTTCATACAAAGTACTTAACAGAGGCCAAATAACATGTTTAATATAAAGCTCTTTGCTTTGGCATGCAGAAAACCTCAACATATCAGAACAGGGCTGTAATTCTCTAAATCTGCCAATTATGAATATGGAATTGGTAGAAAATTAAAATGTATAATAAAGTATTACACTCAGGTCTCACATATATGATAATAAATATATCTTTTTGTGCAACAGCAAAGGATCTATAGTGATCTTTTTTAGAAAAGCAGCAGCCAAAACTGATTTAAGTTTAAAATACTCAGTGGTAAGTGTGAACCGTTCTGTGCATGTTGAATTCCTGCTTTTCTTACATAATAGTAAATGTGTACCAGACAGGAAAGCACATACTCACAGGTCAGCCTCTTTCCCATATCCTGGAAAGGTTTCATCCACCGAGCACTGAATAATTTCTGGAGCCAGGTAACCAGGTGTTCCACAGATTTCTGCAAAGCAACATAAATGAAGTGAACATTCCATTGAATTTATATGGCTTAAAAGCTTACCTATTTCATTTTTTTCTTCCATAACTTCTAAATGAAAAAATACCATCTCAACAGTGATTTCAAAGGACTGTTTTTGTGCCCTTTACAATTCTTGCTTGTTTGGGGCTTTGCTTGCAGTTACAGTTTAACTTCAAGACTGTATCGGCAAGAGTATGTCAACAAATTACGGATTCTTGAATTAAACAGTGGATCACAGCCACTGTTGCTAATGGGAAACCACAGTGACAACACTCAACAGCTGACCCTTAGCCAGCAAATACCTCCACAAGAGTATTGAACACCTATTACAGTGTCCTACTGCATCTTAATCTTTCTCAGATAAACTAACTCAAACAAGAATGCAGCAAAACAAAATAGTTTTACACTTGTTACAGACACTGAAGGGATGATCTATGTTTCTAGTCCGGAATGGTAGGGAATAGCCCAGTCTTGCTCGCTTTGGCCTGTACTGCCATCTTCACAATGGCATCTTTACTTTTACTTCTCTCATTCATCTTTATGTAAGTTTAAGCTGGCAAGTTTCTAGCAGGCATGGAGCTGTTCAAGCTACAGAATGTATTTATCACCTCTTGAAAGCTTTGACAGAAAACATATTCAACTTTGAACTGGGGAAAACTATTTGACCTTCAGACTCTTTGGATCATGGCTATGAGATGGTAGACTACCCCTTTACAAACATACATACAGAAAGCCCAGACGTATCATCTTGCCATGACAATAATGTCTTTGATTGTGAAAAAAACAAATGACACATGTTTGTCTTTCCACAGTGCACACCTGTGAGCTTTTGCCCAGGTAGAATCTGACAGGAGAACCCAAAGTCTGTCAGCTTGATGTTCATGTCATCATCTAAGAGGATGTTTTCAGGCTTCAAATCCCTGTGGATGATGTTTTGGGAATGCAGGAATTGGACAACTTCCAGCAAGGAGCGCATGATTTTCCTAATCACCAAAAAAAAAAAGAGCATTTAACATAAAATGTTATTTTAGGAATATTATAATACTTTTCTAGCTTCCGTAATTCTGCTGTTCCTAAATATTTTATTTCTATTATCACGTTTACTAGTTTTTCTTCTTTTGGCATGTTAATCTGTGCTATGTACCATAGCCCTGTGCAACAGTTTCCTCTCAGACCGATCCTTTCTGTAACATTCTTACTTGACAACAGCACAACAACAGTACATTGACGAGAAAGGAGAACAGCATGTGATCTTGTTAGGAGAAACATATGAAGCATTTACAATAAGTCTACCAGCCCTACAGAGCACAACTACATATAAGACAGATTTATTTTGTATCAGCCATTACTCACCTGGTTTCCTTTTCACTTAAAGTTACTTTTTCTGTGAGGTAATCAAAAAGTTCTCCTTTTTTCATCCTGTGAGGAAGAAAATACCATACAAATGTATCAGAAGCAAACTAGCTCCCTCATGACTACAATGTGTTGCGAAACATTTACAATGGTTAAAAAGAATTTAAAGAGACTGCAGTGGATTAGATTTACAGATTTCTGATCTGGCATTAATATAAGGAAATAAAAATGTTCTTTGAAATTATCTAATGGCAAATAAAAATAAACGAAATAGAAAATTATGTACAGGAAACACAAACATAGTGGTCAAGCAAATGCAATGTAGTATAGGTGTTTCCAACAAGGCAATATCTTTAAATAAAAGAAACCCCTTGAAAGTCTTGTTGGAGTATACTGTATAGAGAGAATCAGGGCTGTCTAAGCAGAACAGCCTGGGAAGCTGAAATCAGATCTGATAAATGCCAGGGCATGCTCTCATGGGGGGCTAATGGAGGACTATTCTTGTAAAGGAAGAGGTCAGCACTTGTTTCACAGTGTTGTACCCAGCTGATGCCAATGTGCACTGGCAGGGATCAACTTCCAGTTGCTGCCATTACCAAGCTGCTGTGTCTATACGTTATATAAGATGCCCCTGTTTTCACAACAGGCCAAAATGTTTACACCTAAGGACTAAGCAATTATAAATTGCACAATTTATAAACCCTACTTAATCTATCTGGGTCACTAGACACATTTCTGAACAATATGTATTCAATATACTATGCTCCCTGCTTTGGATTTCTTTGTCAAGAGGTCCATCAATAAATACGTTTACAATAAAGGAGTACTGGTTTATGGGCAATCAGTGGATTATGAACAAAAATGTAGGGGTATTGTGCATACAGAGGCTCAGGATGATTGTGCGGGGAGGTTCTGATAAACTGTGGGGATTCCTGTACAAGTTGTGGGTTAGGACTATGTATGGGTTGATGTCTTGTGATATTTATTTTTAATTTAATGTGTGCATGTACTGTTTGTATGATTATGTAAGTCTGTGTGTGTGTAAAACACAATTGTTTGGATACAAAACAAATTTCTGAGAAAACATATAATAAAGTATTGTCGTATCACACCTATCTGTAATGGCATTTTTGGAAATGCTTTAGATTAAAAACAAACAAAGCTGATTGATGCTTAGAAGAAAAACAAAGCATTGTGATGTGATATGATAGAGACTCCCAAAACAATGACAACAAAAAAATTGTCATCACAAGACCTACAAAACTGGCTAAAAAATCATTTTTGCACCTTTGGAGTAGGAAAAATCTGCTCGACCATATCATAATTTTTAGAAATATCTTTCAAAGACTGGATTTTTTAAATGAGAACATCACATTCTGTTCTTTCAGTGTTTTGATGTGCTCCTTGAATGCTTCAAGTTAGAAATAACGTCTAAATAACCTTTAGTTTTTTTGCTCAAAAAAGGGCGTACTTACAAGTCAAACACCAGAAAAAAGAAGGCCTGGGACTCAAAACAATCTTTAAGTTGAACTGTGTGGAAAAAAGGAAATAAATTAATTGACTTTAAAAATCCTGGATTACTGTTCCCATAAGTGTAAAATGGAAAATATCTTTGCACATATTGTCAATGAATGCATGTATAATCGTTTCTGAGATAAGAGATCTTTAGTAAGTCTCTAAGCACCTTCTCCAACAACCCTTTATGTAGGAAATGCACAAGCCATCAAGGACTAACTATATAATTTCTCATGCTATACACCAACAGTAAGCGGTTTTCTTTTTCTCGTATTGGAAATCAATACAAAATGCCCTAACCCAGGTTAACCTAACTTCCTTTCTACACCATCGATCATCCTAAAAAATGATAACAAAGTATACGTGTGGAATATACTGCAATAAAAATTGAAATGAATGAAGATCACGTGCAAGGAGGACAGAAAGGTGGAAAGGCACAGTGGTTTGAAGCACCGAACAAACTTACTTATGTATGGCTGGCCATAGACCTTTTTAAGAATCTCAATCTCTTTGGCTGTGGAAACCCGAATTTCCTCGGCCTCCTGGGGTGCCATCCTCTCGGAGGCTATGTCTATGATCTTCACTGCGTAGTCTTGGTGGCTCTTTTTGTCTATGCAGCGACGGACGACACTACTGACCCCTCTGTAAAAACACAACATGTCCATCAAGTTCGGATGCCGCATTTTTCTAAACTTGCAGGACCTCCTATATGATACTGTACTGATCTCTCAAGGCTTAATTTTACAGCTCAAAAATTTGCTCTGCTTGCGGGGATGCCTGGAGTAAAAAAAAACATAAAAATCAGATTTTCCGTAATATATGAGAAATTCAAATGGCAAGCAAGTCTTCAAGACATTTAATAGCTCAGGATTAATCATGGGATGACAAGTAAAAGCGTACAGGGATATATAGTGAGGGGACAATAGTAAGAAGCTAAGGACACAAGTTAAAGTAAGAGAAAAGACAAAAAGATGTCTCTCCTAAGTAGATCTCAGCAAGCAGAGCGCACACACTGTATTACGCACATGGAGTTTCCAGCATATTTCAGGGGATTATTACAACATACCATTGAAATGGTGATAAATTTGCAACCTGCAGATTTAAGACAAATGGAAGCATTGGAGCATCAGAGCACTTAATAACAGCAAGGACTCACACTCTGATTGACCTTGTAGGCTCATTTTCACATTTCACCTGCTTTACGCTGGAAAGTAGCAACCCTTTCTGCTCTCTTGGAATTTTCTTCCTTCCTTCCTTTCCTGGCAAGCAGTGGGCACTAGGCAGAATGCCCCTGGGTGGCACACCAGTCCATCACAGGGCACACTCAGACACAGAGACAGAACTGCAACAGCAGGACTGTACCAAACCCACCTCTTCAATTGTTCTGTATGTTTTCTTGGCTTTCTCAGATAAGTATGTCAAACTACGACCCAATTCAAAAGCACGTTCTTTTAGTCTTGGCAAGAAAATGAAAGCTTAACCTTTTGAAAAGTGGCACAGTAAAACAATCATACACAGTGTGCAGAAAGAAATCAGCAAGTACCTCATAAGTAAAACAAAAACTGTACTGATCTGAATAGAAGATAATAGTAAAAATTAATTAAATGAGGCATAATGTTTTGAGTTTTGCAAGCCATCGATAGAAGATTGAATCCAAGTCAAAATATTGTAAAATACTGCATACCACATAAAATTGTGTTTTTAGAATGTAGACTATTAAATAGCAGATCTAGCTTTGCAAGTGCATTTGATTATGGAAAAGTTTTGGACTTACCTGAAGCAGACTGCTGTTTTCAGCACTCTTGCCGTAGGTAACTACATGAAAGAAGCACTCTGTTCGTGTGAACTCAGTGGGCTGGGTGCATGAATGAACTGTGCTGTTGAAATATATGCTCTAGCAGCTCAGAGAGCGCACAGCCCTGATAAGCACATGGCCAACCACATCTCAGGGCAGCAGCTCAATCATTCACACACCCCCCAGGCCTCTCCTGAGCTCTGATTGGCTTGCCAGCTTGAAAACATGGTCACAAACATGTTTATCCAGCACAAACTGCTTTAGGAAGAGAGGTTTTTTCCTTGGACCTCCCCTGTTTCTTAAGCTCCTGAAAACAAGGGTTGTGCAGAATGGAAGAGTACAATGTCACATAACACATGACAAAAAGTACATTGTGAAACTGTTTGGTTACTGTGGTGCTTAAATGTGTTAATTTTCTTTATGCATTTTGAAACTAATTCAAATGTAATCACACCTCAGCTACCTATCTGATATCATATATGTCACCATATCACCACTGCTTTTTTCTACTTCTAAAAACGCTTTAAGCGCAGTTCTGGAGTTAATTAAATGCACATTTTCCGTTGAGTCTGTTAACGACGTGCCCTGCTTTCAGTTAAAATGAACAGGATAGAAATGACAGACCTCAGGGCTCAATAAGTTTGTCCTGGATAATTCACTTCAGACAGGGCTGGACTCTGCTCTTGTGAAACTTGGGTTATAAACAATTGCAACAGCCCTGTTTTCTTCCATCTGATTATCCTGTAAACAGGCTGTAGAACATCTTTTGTCAGCCCTCAAAAGGCGAGCACTGAGTGTTCTTGGAAGAAGGCGTCAAAAACAAAAGTCGTGCATTACGTAACCAGGTCTCCAACTAACCAATCAGCACCGCACAGGTCCACATGTGCACACAATGCCGGTGTCTTCTCACGCTCATCGCCAATTGCTGCTGTTGGTGTTTTATCTGGGTGTAAAGACTTTTATTAGGGTATGAAAACCTTTAGTAAAAAAAAACACGTTTATATCTAATGCTCTGATACTTTGTTTCAGACCCGTGATACATAACAGGCAGCCTCTGTGACGACGAGATGACGGATTTGGCAAACGGTTCTTTGATGACGGACGTGACTGTTTTTCTGGCACGCTTTCTTAACCTCTGGCCCCCAAATCAATCATATTTTAACTCCGATAACTCTTTACTTTACCAGTGACGTCTGTCCATGCACCTGCTCATTTGAGCTTTAAAGCCTTCATGCATAAAAATATCATTGAAGATTAGATCTACTATATCGAATAACCGCTTTTGGTGTTATTTTCTCCGTTATAAAAGTCTATGTACGACTACATAAATATACTGGACATTTGTTTCTGGCAAAAATAACATTATTAATTATATTTTTCCTCAGAAATATTAATTACACTCACTGTCCGTGATAATATAATAAATGGTAGTATGTTAGCATAAAAAAGAGAAGCGTAATCTTTCAAAACCTTTGACACAGTATTAATATCGTATATCAGATTTGTGATTGGAATTGTCTTTAACCGAAATAGAACGTCTTTTACGTCATCTACAAGCACTTTTCAGTATTCCAAAGATGTCATTGTTTTTCATGTCACACTTTAATAGAACATATCAAAGAGGAAGTGAATAAAAAAGGATTTTAGGTTTGCTGTGGGTAACTTTCAGGTTATACGGCATCGTTTTCTGATCTCCGTTTCGTTCAGTGGACATTTCTGCTTTTGCCATTCAATTCAGTATATCGCGCTTTTGATTGCAAACCTATTGGTGTAAAGTATGGCTACATGGGTTTCTGGGCGTGTCTTGCTCTCTGTCTCATTATGCATCAATAAAGCTTTATCGGCATGCTCCTGTTACAGAAATAAGCTACAGTACGGATAGACGTGTGTCCAACCGAGTCAATTTCACAGACAGGATCAGATGAACTCTGCCCTTTACTCGTCTGAACCCTGACATATTGCTAAGGATATGTCACGGCTATTCTTGTAAGGTATTCTGGGATGCTTAACTACAGGAAAAAACCTTACGTAAAATATTTATACATTTATTTAAATAAGTTGCCTTAACGTTGAAATACTAGTAGTAATACTACTACGGATGGAACAACACCAGTGACAGAATACAGCATTATCTGGTAGCATGGCAACAAGCTTCAGGGTTTCAAAGTTAATCAGGGCAAATTTGCACAACGGTTTGACAATTTAAAAAGCTTATGTCATGAACTTGCTATAGTTCTTATTTGGGTTTCAGCGTATCAAATTATATTGGATATTGTCTGTATCATGATTGCACAGCAGACTACACTGTCCTGAGGCTATACTCTACTTTTACCACGGTGCTCTCCAATAGACCTCTGCAAGGATCTATGCAGCATGTACAGTATAGCAAAGTTTTGTCCAATGAATTTAGATGATACCGCTTTAGAAAATTTCCCTGTGAAGCGAAATGACTCCCAACTTTATTACTTTTAAATGATATTTCAGAAGGCCATCAAATCAACACACACGTGTTAGACAAATTCTGTCGACCAAAGTCCGCTTCATCCGGTACAGTAAATACTCGTTACTCCCGACAATCATTCCGTCATTTGTACAGAACATAAAACCGCATGCAAACAGTATTTTACAACTGTATTAAAATTGTATGATTGGGCGCATTGCTTAAAACGTGCATTCTGCAATAGAGCAGCTTACTAAGAAAGGAATAAAAGATTACATTTACCTTCCGAGAATCTCCTTCGGTTCATATTTATCATAAAACACATTGGCTCCCACCCAATCCGGGATGTCCTCCTCTCTCGTCATTTTGAGCTATATAATATCCAAGGTCAATGGACGTCTCCGAGAAGCTACAGAGGAAAGTGGCATCATTTCTTATCCAGTGTACTAAGTGCTCCATATTCTTTGTTCCAATTTGCTGTGTAGTGAAACCTTAAGTGTTGGGGTTCATATTGTACATTTTTGTAATATTAGCAGCAGTCTATTAAAAGTATACAGTATATAACAAGTTATAACAAGAAACAGGTGACGCTGTAGAAAAATGGGATTTAAGGTTACAGTGGACAGAATGCCTCCTAGTGGCTAGATCACGAACATTTCCGAAGTTGATATTAAATAATTATCTTTAAATAAAAGCCTGTTCCCACAACACAACAAAATGCGACCAGCGAAGAATCTTGAACACACACTTCTGTTTGCCTCTTTACATTACGGTCGCACTGCTTTTAGAGAAGTCGTGAAGAAGAAAAACACAACTCCGTTAACAACTGTCACTCATTGCTTCGAAATTAAGTTATTAGATTTTAGGGTCGGTCTCAAAGTCATTTTTCAGACGGCTAAGTGTAAAATCTGTAAGCAAGACCACCTGGATAAAATGGGCAGTTTATTTTTATAGACAAGACTCTATACGTTGACGAATGCAAGTCATCTCACATTAGGGTATGGGCGATTCACAAATGCTGTCCACTAAATCCACAAGGCTTTGCTAAGATACATACTTCAAATATATATTCTTTAATTTCATTTTCAAATAAGACCATTCGGCAAAAAAAATCTTTAAGCGCTTCAACATTACTAAGATGAACAAAAAGGTTGATTAAGTTTGGCACATTGAGAACACATTACATGCAGAAAATTCTAAAGCATGCACAATACAGGCAACCGTCAGTCATTACGTTTAATCCCGATTGCTTGACCTTTATAAAGCGCCACCTCTTCTTACCAATACTAAGAAAGCCTTGTCAGCCGTTGATCTTTACCATAACTGCTCAAGGTTAGGTCTGACATCCAACATTGCCCTTCATTTTTAAAATAAAATTATAAGTTTGACATGAGTTAACAATTAAAAAAACGAAGCCCGATAGTTAAGGTGCTTACACGAGAAGCTATAAACTGAGACCTGATGCACTGCAGGCTTCTGAGAAGGGCGAATTCGATTGACAAGAGCCAAAAATAAATTGCAACGTGAACCAGAGACACCCTTCAACGCGTGAAGATACATCCCTGCTACATATTTAACAGCTTGCATTCAGAACAGTATAACCTAGAGCTGACCCTAACACTAAACTGAAGCTACAGTGCCCTCTTCTGGATACAGCAATTCTATAATTGTTCATGTCCGTGACACCAAAATAATAAATACCTTACAGTGGTATAGCACTTTCATCTTTATGGTCCCATAAAGACTTGCATACTTTATCAACCACTTCAGTGCAGCCCCACCTGGGTAACACACACCCAGCATTCTGCACTGGTACATGTACTATACATATACTCAGGTGGAGAAGTGACAGATTACTTCATCAGAGGAATCACGGGGGAATTTTATGCAGGCCAGATTGCACAAGTCCCAAGTGGATTTTTGTCAGGATGCCAGGGTTAACCCCCCTTACACTTATGAACATGCCCTGGGATCTGTAATGCCAAAGTAGTTAAGACCTCAGTTTAATGTCCCTCCTGGTGGGCAGGACAGCAATCGCAGTCACTAAACTAGGGCAATGGTTTAGGAATTCTGTTCCAGACGGACGACCACAGCCTACTGTTCTACCATCTCCACTTAGAACAGCAACCTGTTCTTAGAAGTATCGCGTCCCAGCATCCCACTACTTACCAACAGCATGGGACCAAAAGTAATTTGACAACTAAGCAGCCGATCGTCCAATTACTTTTGGTCCCCTAAAATGGGAGGACTATGTATAAAAAGGGCTGTGATTCCTATATGATTCACCCAGTATAGACATAAATACTCTCCAATTAAAGCCGACACTCTGCACTTTAACCTCAGTCATTGTATCATTTCAAATCCAATGTGCTGGAGTACAGACCAAAACAACAAAAATTGTGTCACTGTCCAAATATATATGGACTGCACTTTATGATTTGTGAACATTTTTTCAAGTACATAATTACTACCATGGTATTTCTCACTCTTCGTTTCAACAAGTTTCTGTTCTTCCACTTTGTGATTCATGCCAACCCTGTTGTGAGGGACTGGCTTTAATTCCTTCACTGCTGTGTAAAATATATATGTTATGGGCATCAACAGTTTGCCAAAAACCTCAACTTGTGTTTTCTGGTATTAAACATCATTATCGCAACAATGCAAAGTAACTGACACATGACCAGTCAATATGGTGAGTTGTAGTAGCCATCCCTTCATTTTTATGAATTCAATCTACCTAATTTACTGTCAGCTGTTCCTTGTTTAGAGAGACGCAAATGCAGACCATGACATTTATAAAGCCCAAAGGCTACTTACTGTACGACAAAATACAGCTGTCAAGAATTACCATTAGTATAAAATACAATTCCTAAAATCTCATTTGCGGTTCTTGATGGCTGTGCTTCAATCTATCAGCTACATGAAACCACAGCCTCTGTCCTTCATACCTTGGAATGCCATTTTATTCCCCAGAAAAGACTACAGCTTTTCTCAATCAGAAAGCAAGAAGGAGACAAAAATAACTGGGAACATTTATTCAGAATCAAAAATAAAGTTTCCCCTACGACAAAAAGTACACAATTTTCAAAGACAACATGGTATTTAAAGACAAATTGACACAGAAAAAAAAAACAGGTTTCTTGTTTTATTTGCAAAGGAATTGAAACGCATACAATTTTTATAAGACAATTATCCCAGAACCTGAAATAAGCAGAATTTGTTGCATATCAAATAAAGGCAGTCTACAAGAGAAAACTCAACACTGAGCGTTATTAAATATTTACTGTGCACTGGATTCCTTTTATTATTGAACTAATTTCACTGCTCTGGATTTTCATGCCAACCCTGAAAAAAGAAGATAAAGAAGATATTAAAATTATATTTAGTTTAATATTACATCAGCATTTTGGTTATTTGCCTAAAGAATGACATTAGAATTTTTTTAATTTAATACAAACTATCCTCTGTAAGAATAAGTGAAGGCACTTCACTGGAATTACTGAAGCGGAGAAAACCTTTAAATGGTTTTGACAAGCGTCACCATGTCTATCTACTTGTGGGATGGGGTTTCCATCTCTAGTCTCCCTGTTGATAATGCAGGGCACATCAGTTACGATTACATTACTACCTGAGATCTTAGTCAGGTACCAGATTCTGGTTTGTCAAAAAGAATATCTATTTTGTGAGTTCCAGTTAGGAAAGTTAAAAGTGATTTACCATTGGAGAACTTGCATTGCTTCAGCACCTCACTGAAGCCCTCACAGAGCTTGAGGTCGCTCTGGGTCTGCGCGCACTCGATAAACTGCCTCAGCTCATACGTGCAGGGGTTCTGCTGAGCCTGCTGCTGGTACATGGGCTGAGCTGGGGGAGCAGGCTCCTGTGGGCACAAAGCACACATGAACTGTTTCGCTGAACCACAGCTGTGAGCAAAACATCCCAGACCTTTTGCCTAGAGGCAATCACCCTTATCCGGGCTAGGTACAGTTACTCACAGGCTAGACCACAAACAGGCAGTCCGAATCCTTGAGTGCAGAGCTTAAAGGGCACCTTTGAATGAAGAGCTTTGACCACGGGTTCGAGCTTGGCCCACGTCAGTACCTGACTGGGAATAGTATTTCACAAGCGATGGCTGAGCACCAGCCGGGGTAGGGTGGGATTAGTTGGCCAGAGATACCTCTTTTCTCAGTGACACACCGACCCCCACAACCTCGCTTGTGCTCAGAGGCAAGCAGTGCTGTCGGGCGCCCCTGTAATCAGCACCAAGTCTCTGGCAGGGGGCTGTGGAGCCCGTGATGTGAAAAAAAGATGAACAGCTTTAAGGTGGGTAGATCAGAGGAGAGGGCCTACACCCATCCCCCCCCACCACCACTGTGTGGCATTTCTGGGCACAGCACAGTTATTTTGCAAGAGTAACAGATCAGCATGTTTTGCAAAAAAAAAAAACACTGGTCCATTTTATACATCCCTGAGTAGGTTTACACTCACAGCTCAGAGTTACAATCCGGTCATGAAGCGCTTACCTGATAGGTGATATCGGCCCGGCCTGGTTCTGCAGCTGCCCCTCCACCGAAGCCCCCTGTCATGGCATGGCCAAGTGTGTGCCCGACAGCAGAGCCCACTGCCACGCCGGCTGCTGTGGTCGCCATCTGGGCAAACATCCCGGGCTGTCGGGGGGCTGCGGAGGGGGCGGCCATGGCAGAGGGAGGCGGGTGGGCAGGCAGGGAGGAGGGGGGTGGGGCAGGGGGGGCAGCCCTGGCCATCGGTCTTGGTGGAGCCCGGCTGTGCGGAGACAGAGAGCCAAGCACACATTCATCTCTTATTTATTGTCAAGCCTGGCTCGCCACTTCTGTTCTGAAAGCTCAAGGTCTAACAAATGTTTTTTTTTTAATATATATAATCCAAAACAAGTTACTCCTGAATCAAACTGCACTGCTAAATCTCTTACGTAAACTTAATATTTGCAATTGTGACTTAATTATAAATAGCTCTTGCAATACTAAATTATATGAGAGATTAAACACCGTGTGCATTACCTAACTTAACTAATGCATTTCACAGTATTCGCAAAACGCATCAGTCACCCTTTTAACTGTTCAGAATAAGGCACCGTTCTTATACAGAGACGACATCTTTTAACACGGTAGCTTATATTTAAGAAACAAGCAGATTATTCTAGAAACTTCCGGCTGGACATACCTACGGGTATTTCACGGCAGAAAAGTACAGTGCAATCTACTCGCTAGGCCACGCTGCGCACGAAAATGATCAAAAAGTATTATGAGGTACACTTCTGTAATTATTTTCTCTTACCTGGCCGGAGGTGGTACTCTAGACATCCTGCTTCTACTGCCTCTGCTTGGCATTTTGTTCTAAAAGATAAAACAGATCTCTATGTCAGAAACAAGCCGATCCTCTCCTGTCTCTCTGCTTGAGAGCGACCTTGTGTTAACTAAAAGCCGATCCGGAAATGTCCCCAGTGTTACATCATATTGTAACACTCCCGACTTCCGGTAGCAGAGACGCGCTCCAGTGCGAGTATGGTGAAACTAGTCTGTATATATTTCAGTATTCTGTCTCCATTTTTGTATTTCTGGTGTTTAAATAAGAAAAAGCTACACTGAGCGACACGAATGATCCGGAAGTGTATGTAAATAGCCAAACGTCAATAAAAATAAAAGACTTTCAGCCACCGCAGTAGCGTATGAGTATAGCAACATTAAGCGAAGTGACAAGCAGCTGAAACACCTGCTTTGTTATTTCTTCACGGTTAACTGCAATTCCCTGAACATTCAGCTAAAGTTTGAGAGGGTCCTTTTTTAATTTAAAATCGCCTCCACTAATCTCCAAGTTTGACAAATCTAAGATTATT